GATGTTAGAATTGTGTCGATGTCCCAATATTTCTGGACCTGACTGTACATTAAAACATTCACTACCCTGGAAACAATTATAAGGAAATGGAGTAAAAATTTCCTACATACAACATGAATTCAAATTATGCTATTTTCAATATATGTGGCAAACAATTTGTACCTAACTCCTGAGAAACTGGTCTTCCTTTAAGAACAGCTTGTAATACAGGATGCTCCCAAGGTCCACCGTCTCTGGTAATTCGAGTCACCAATTCTAAGTTAATATTTCCGTATCTGCTGAGGAGATTCTGGCATTCCTATGGAGGAACAAACAGTGAACATTAAACTACTTAAAGTAAATGTACTCTGGATATGTGTTAGTACACAGCATATACTCCTTAGTTGTTAGGTTATGAGAAGTAGTACACTGGGTAGACCAGATATAGAGATTTTAGCTTTTAAAAGCATAAAGTGCACATTAGGGGCTCCAGCTGCACTTATGGCATATTCACTAAAATGTGCCAAAACTGATTGGCACCATATTTACTATTAAAGGCACACTGCCTGTAGCGCAGGCATAACTAAGGTTGGTAACCTAGTTCATATCTTCTCTACATTACTAAAAGTGTTATATGAAAAGTTCAGTTGACCAAAATCATGAACATGGTATATGGAAGATTGTGACTCAGAATATAAGAAGAATAAATGGTAAAGAGCATGAATTAATGAATGAAAGAATGAAAAATAGACACATTATCAACTGTGATTTTGATGGAAATCTTTTAAAAATGAAGACATTGAAGAGGGCTAGTTAACTAAGGAGCTCTCAATAAAATGAAGAGATGTGAAAATGGAACTGATTAAATCATTTGGGATAAAATTAAAGTGAGTAAATTATTATTCTTATCATCATCATCATTATACAAATGTATAGGACACCCATCTCATATACGTGACTCTGAGTGGCTCACAGTTAAAACAGAATAAAAACAGTAAAAAATAACCAAAGTTAAAAACAACAAAAATAACATAAAAGTATCAACCGAGAAGACTCATAACCACTCAAAAATGTACAAAGGCGTATTTCTGGGATCTGTATGTAAATGATAAGGACACGTAGAGCATGGAACTGAATCACTATAAATGTTTCTATCCAAGAAAAAAAAATGATGAAAAGGAAGTCACAAATGCTGAAGAATGATCAAAGTTGTAGGTGTAGATGGTGTAATTGAAGAAATGTTAAAAATATAGATCTGGTTTGTTTATGGAGTAGTTATGCAATTTATCATGTGTATTGTGTGTCTGTGAACACTGCATCTGTACCTGACAAGAGTATAGGGGAACAATAATAGCATTTTTCCAAAGGGAAAGGTAGATGTAGTAGTAGCAAGAGTGAATATTAAAACTATATTAGTTTGTTAAATGTGCCTGAGAAGCTGTTTGGCAGAATTCTGGTAGACTAGCGATGACTATGCACAGAATTTGGGCAGTATAGCACATCCTTATGTCAGGCAGAGGATGGCAGAGTGGATTTTTTGCTCTTCAAGTTAGTCAGAAATGTATTAAGGCACGAAAGTGTATTGTGTATTTGTAAATTTAGAGGAAGTGTACAATAAAATGAATAGGTTTACATGATGTAATGTACTGTACAAGTAAAGACTTGAAGTTTGGTTGCTGAATATAGTAAGAGCAGTATATAAAGGTAGTCCTCGTTTAATGACTGCCCTGTTTCGCAACCGTTCAAAGTAACGACGGTGCTGAAAAAATAACTTTACAACCGGTCTTCACACTTACGACCGTCTCAGCATCCTGCGGTCACATGATTGCCATTTGCGCGCTTCACAGCCGGCTTCTGACAAGCAGAGTCAATGGAGAAGCCGGCAGTAAAATCGCAAGTTGCGGTCACGTGATGTCTCACTTAATGACTGTGGGTGATTCGCTTAATGACCGCGGTGGAAGTGAGGTTGTAAGTCCGTCACGGTCACGTGATGTTTCGCTTAACGACTATGTCGCTTAGCGATGGAGTTGCTGGTCCCAATTGTGGTCATTAAGCGAGGACTACCTGTAATGAAATTAAAGCATGCATGAGAATCAATGGAATGCTTAGTGAATGGTTCAACAGTTATGTGGGAGTTAGACAAGGATGTGTGATGTCCTCTTGGTTGTTTAATGTGTATATGGATAAATGTATAAGGAATGCTTGTGGTGACATCAGGATTTGGAATATGAACATACATACAGTATGTGTGCAGGTTGTGCTGTTGGCTGAGAATCCAAATTGTTTACAGCAAATGGTAGGTTATATTATGCAGTGAGAAATACGGATTTAAAAATTAATGTATCAAAGATCAAGGTAGTTGTATTTGACAGAGAAAACGGAAGGAATGTTTGCAAGTTATACCCAAAAGATGAAAAACTAGAACAAGATCAATTTGTGTACCTTGGTAGAATGCTAGTTAAAGATAGGAAAATAGATGGAGAAATTTTAAGATGTGAAAATGCTGGTAGGAAGGTATTGGAGAACCATGTGGTCTGTTGTGAGAAATGAATGTTTGTCAAAAGAAGTGAAAATGACTACAGAAGTGCATTTATACCCACTTTGTTATATGGAAGCGACAGCTGAATGTGTCAGTGGAAACATAAAAGAGAAACTGAATCCAAAGGGAATGCAATATTTAAGTGTGGGTAATAAAACAAGAGATAGAGGTTAAGCATGTTTGGGTGCTAAACAAATGTGGATTGAACACAAAAGTGAGCAACCAGTATGAAAGAAGTACGCTAAGGTTGGGTCAGTCATATAAGGCAATTAATTCATGAAGGAGGAATAAATGAACTGAGAGAAAAAGAAAGTTCAAGACAGTTGTGGCTGGCTAGAGTTGATAAGGATTCTGAAAAAGGGATAGGTGAAAAATTTAAAGAACAAAAGACAACATATGACTGTGATGAATTAAGGATGGTTTCAAATATACAAAGGTATGGACAGATATACACTAGTTATATCTGTTTCCTTTTTTTTTATCTCATGCCTCTAGTAGTTTGGTGTACTACTTATTCCTTTTCTGCATTCAGCATATTGCTTATGCCAAAAGGGAACAGTGTGATTATGATCCGGGTGCTTGGAACCCAGCTTGCAATTACGATGTTGCAGCATCCCATGGTCATGCAGTCACCATTTGCGACCTTCTTTGCCAGCTTCCTGCAAGCAATGAGGAACCCAGCAGGAAGTCACAAATGACAGACATGTGAGATCCCTGCTTAACAACAGCACAGGATTTGTTTAACGATGGCAATTGGGAAGTGCTAGAACTGCTGGTGCTAAGCGATGCAGTCACATGATGTCATGGTTTACAACCTTGTTACTTAGCGATCAAAATTCCAGTCCAATTGCTGTTGTTAACCAAGGACTACCTGTATACTGAATCAGGGATACACATCAGGGATATGGTTTGAACAGAGGCAAAGCATATTAGGAAAATTAGCAATGATAGCCAGTTGCAGCCCCAGTGTTCTTGCAATATTTCAACTGAGAGACATGTTGATCAGAATTAAAGCAAGTCGAAGTGTTGCCTGGGGGTGGCTAAAAGAATTATATTAAGAAATTGGAAAAGTGATATTATTCCAGAGATCAAGGAATAGTTATTGGAAATGTGTGATTTGTCTGTTTTGGAAATGGCAATATTTTCTACTAATCAAAGGATGCAACGATATATGTTACTATGGCAGAGATTTGGTGATATCTTACAATAATACCTTGTATTGCTCATATTATAGCAGTAAATTCATTAGTAAACCAGTGACTTTTGATAAGTATAAAATATAAGGTAAGTTTTTTTCTTTTTTCTTTTTCTTTTTCTTTTCCTTTGTAGTTTGTATTTTTACTTTGTACTTTTAATTTAAAAAATATCTTTTTCTTTAAGGTTAAAAATTTTGTTAATTAAGCATATATAAACTAAATAAATATTTTTTTTAAAAAAAGGCATCCTAAAATTTAAAAAAATAGAAGTGTTGCCTAATACTTCTTTCAGGTTTCTCTTCAACTTCACTTATTGCTTCTTCCAAGCATTCATACAGTAGCACAGTAACCACACACATACACACACAGAAACCATTGCAATATTGTCTAGCTATATCATAGATTAGCAGTATTGGCAGAAATAGTATGTTAGGAGCTAAGCCAAGGACTGCCGAAAATTTCAACAGGGAAGACAGCTACAGGAAAACTGTTTAAGAATTTAATTGGCAAGGATTATGTGGCTTTGCTCCTTATTAATCAACACTTTCTCAACTGCCATTGGAAAGTTATTGAACCTCCCCAGAATACAAGGAAGAGAGGGAGGGTCTGATACAATAACAGACTCTAACGTAACAAACTGATTCCTACATGAATTTGATATTAAAAATTAATTATACTATTTATACACAAATCTTAGCATTATATATTGATTCAAGATCTCATACTTAAATTTTAAGTTATTTAGAAATAGGATTTTCCTTTCTGATAAGTTTCCATATATACTGGTAGCATTATGCTTGTATTCACTTAATTATTTGAACAATAGCAAATTACCTGGATTGAACCCAGAATGTCTTTTAAAGGATCTTCATAGAACTCATCTTTTCCAAAGAATAACAACAGTTCAAAAAAGCTCCTATAAATCAAAGCAACTTGAAGTTAAAAAGTAATAAGCAGAGCAAGCAAGCATATTATGTCACAAGTTTAAATGCAGAATTTTAAATGAAGCAGCAATGTTGACAAAGCCCTATGGATTTTCTGTCAGGCATGCTCATTTAATTGTACTATACCACAACAGAAAGCTGTTGACATACTAGATCATTGACATAATATTCTCCCTGATACATACAATGTGGAAGTGGTCTGTTACACTATATATTAGCTGAATTTCTAGTGTATTATAGTGTCTATACAAATCTTCCGTAACATGAAATTGAGGAAATGTTTTATTAAGCGCCACTGGGCCCTAAAATTTCTAATTCAGTGAAAGATTACAGATTCAAGATTTAAGTGATAAATCAACAATTGGTGCTCCAATTCTTCTTTCTCCACATAGAATGCAAGTTTTCACAGTAAACACTGCAATTTTTCAGTTTTACTCACATGCATATTATTCCACATCATTAAGAGACAATGGATCATTCTCAAAACACCACATGTCAGAGAAGTCTAATGACACTGAACTTCAAGTCCCAGTATAATCTACCTTTATTACCTTAAATACACATATTTGTTCAGAGTCACAAAATGGGCTAGAATGAACAAGTACAAAGAAGTTTCCAAAGTGACACTTCCCACTTTTTGAGCAGCTTTAAAATCCTCTAAAGCAATCGAACAGGCATGCTGCCAATAAAAACTTCAACCACAAATACAACTGTTAACTCCAGTAATCATCAAGAAAAGACTTTTATCCAATTATTCATTTCAGAATTAAGCATGGAAACCAGGAAAAACTGGAGTTAAATTGCAAATTATTATCCCTGGTCTTCAACTGTTGACTTGACAAATTTAAAACTGCTGTTAATCAAAGACGAACCTCTGTATTTCCTGAAGATGCTATTTCTTGATACCTTGAAGTTTCTGAAATGTGTTGTTCAACTGTTTTGTAACTACCCTTCACCAGAGCTTGGAACTCTAGTGCCTTGAATGAAATTATCAAATATCTTTTGATCTTCCACAATATTTGGCAGATTTGGCAATAATTTATATATAATTGTCCCAACAATTATTTCCCATTTTTGCAGCAACAAATCTGATAAAAAGTCAGCTTGACGGTAGCACCACACTATGCATGGTGAATAGAAATATTGTAGCCTGATTGCCATTTCAGTAACAGGATGATGCTGTAACAAGATTTGCCTAAATGTAGATAGGAAGTTTTCCCTTTAACCTGCCTAAAGAAGAGACTTTAGGCCACCAGCAACCTGCCCTTCACCAGATAAGAATGATTGCCTCTAGTCAGATTCCAACCCCAAATATGTATTCTACAATGGCCAATACATGGTTGATACATATCCAAGAAAGTCAGGACTGAGTTTCCAATATTTCAAAATAGTACTGGAACTTGTGTGCAAAGATAGCAGGCTTGAAATGGATAAATTATTAAATGATAAAACATTTTTTTTAATTTGAAAATGTTCTGCTCCCATAACATACAAATTTGTTCATGTCCTTCATTTTATTTTCTCATTTATAACATAAAAGTCATATATCAATTTCAATGTTTATTTTAAAAATGGTAATTATTCCTATCCCATGAATAGACGCTTAAACAAAAATGCCAGCACTGTTTCACATATCAATTTGACAGGGAAGTATTACTAAGTGAATGATGATGAGCAATGTCATTTATGAAACCTGTATGTCCATCAACATATTCCACACAAACACTTAAATAGTTTTTACATTTCACATGCTTAGGAAACAATTACAACATAGTCTTCTTCCCAAAGTTTAACAAATTATCCTAGATGATTTTTTCAAATTATCCTATATTATCCAGAAGGTTAGAAATTTTACAATAAGGAAAGCAAAGGTCTACTTACAGTGCTAGGCTACTTAGCACATACTGTACATGTTCACATTCATCTGGAAAAGATACACATGCAGATGTGAAACAACAGAGAGCTGTCTGAAGTACTTGAAGCTGTGGCAGAGGAACTTGCCATCTTCCAGCATAATCTTCAACAACCTATTTGGAGAAAAAGGAGTACACATTAAACTTGATCTGAAGCAGCATATAACAGGAATATAGCATGCTAATATAAGCTATAGCTAGGCAAATTTTCTTTGTAATTAAGAAGCGCAACTAAGAAATCAAAGTACTGTATACAGTTACTAAAGTAAGATGAGCACTTTGATGAACAAAGATTAACCCTATTTTATGGACTGAGACAACACAGCTGCAATAAAAATAAAATTGTTTTCATGTTCAGAAAGACTAAGATTCTGATTCTCCAGTCTATAATTTTTTTTTGCCTTTCTAAAAACAGCCATATAGAATGTAAACACAATGTACAATTATCACCTACAATTTCCCCAAGGGCTAATAAGAAACATAGTAATGCAAGATGATATAATGGGCAAACAGTGTAAAAGGAAAGAGATCCATGCATTATCTATCCTCTTTTTGACCACTTACCTTATCCTACCCCTTCTCTATCACTACCCACATATAATGCAACCCCCTCTCTGTTCATCAACTTTTTAAATTTGAATTTGTATTATCAATTGAACAGTCTTCTGTGTTTCCCATGTATATTTATGGATATTTCCTTCGTCCAAGATTAGTTGCTGTGGGATAGTCAGAGTTCAGCTTTCAGCCTTGTTAAAGCAATGAACAAGACGCTAATCGTTATACCTTAATAACTCTCAAAAGGGTGATTGTTGCTTATTCTTACTGACAAAAACACATACAATGTCCCATGTTCAACAACCTTCCTCCTCCAAATAGGGCTGAAATATCTACCCATCCCTTTTTAAAGGATTACGGTGAAAAAAAAACTTGATTACGGATCAAGTTTAATGTCCTTGGCCAGAAAACTATATTGAATCATCTTAAATCAATTTCAGTTATTTTGAAGATGCTTTAGAGCAAGTTTTAGAACATTTAGGAGCATGCATGCAGCAACTGTCTGTGACTCATTAAAGCAGCCCTATGAGCCTGGAAAAAGATGTGTCTGCTTTAATGAGTCACCAACAGCTGCTGTGTTTGAGTTCTAGCACATTCCAATACATTTTACAGTCCTAAAATCTAATGTTAATATATTTGTAGTGAAGAAACCCAATCCCATTCTTCTCTTCAGAAAGCATCCCTGTTAGTCAGCTGTGTCTTGAGCTTTACACAGTAGCTTATTTATGTCCTTCCTTTGCTCCATGAAGACTGATTTACTAGCATTAGGCTAGACTAAATCATTTAGCAAAACTTAAGTATATGTCTTAATATAGAGTTAGCAGGCATGAGACAGCTTTTCCAGAAACAGAAATTCCTTTATAATTTATAGTCATTTTTGTATGGTTATACTTCAGGATTTAGAATCAACAGAAGTTTTATTTCACTCCAGCAATATCACATTCAAAAGAATAGGAGAAAACCAGTTCCAAAATGGTAGACAGAACACGCAAACTCTGAAAGCTTGCAATTTTATTTTGGCACCTTAAAACATCTCATTATGAAACAGATTATCATAGTACCATCATTTTGGCTTTCCAAGATTACATTCTGTAACTGTCTCTATAGGACAGTAATTGACTTATTTGCAAAAATGCTAAACTTAATCTTCTAATACTTTTAATGCTAACTGTTAAACCAGCTGAACAATTTCTTTTAGAAAAGACTAGATACATTTCTACAAATATACCAGTTAAAGTTGTGGGAGGAGGGTTGTATATTCTATTTATATCATGTAGAGGAAATATAAATATATAAAATTATTTGAACCAGTATATAATGAAGCCATGTCAATTACACTAACTAAATCTACATGAAAGAAAGATTTAAAGCCTACTATCCAGGACATTCTGAAACTACATACAAAATTATATAACTTAAAGCACTGCTATCTCAGTAGGACTGAAACACTCTAAGAGTGATTTTTAAAGATTTTAAACCTAGTGGAGTAGTTGATTCCAATAAGTTCTCAGAGAGAGAAGAAGAATCCCTAGCCCAGCTAACAGCAGTACTGAGAGGGCAGTTCCTTACAGTCTGCTTCTACAGGTAGTCCTTACTTACCAACCGCTTGTTCAGCGACTGTTTGAAGTTACAAAAGCACTGAAAAAGGAGATTTATGACTGGTCCTTGAAGCTCCAATGTCCCCGCAGTCATGTGATCTCAATTCAGGCGCTTGGCAACTAGCATGCATTTACAATGATTGCAGTGTCCTGCGGTCACATGACCACCATTTGCAACCTTCACAGCCAGCTTTTAACAAGCAAAGTCAATGGGGAAGCCAGAAGTCACAAGCTGCAGTCACATGCTGTCGCATTTAATGACTGTGGGTGATTTGCTTAATGACTGCAGCCAGAACTGATGGCATAAGTTAGTGTGGTCACATGACGTTTCACCTTACGACTGCAGCACTTACCAACAGAGTTGCCAGTCCCAATTGTGGTCAGTAAGTGAGGACCCTGTACTTACTTTCCCCCCCAGAGGGTGGTTGGTGCTACAGAAATGTATTTCTCCTTTTGTTAGAAGAAAAAGAACACTTTCTAGCACCACTGAGGGCTAAGAAATAATAGAACAGAACTAACAATTCAAAACATTCATAATTTAAGATGTCCTATTAGCCCTCTGGTTTATGGATAAAACACAGTATCTACTCAAAAACAAGATATGCAGAATTGTATACTACCTGTAAAACCTATTTTCAGTAGCCTTACTTCTAAATAAATACGCACAGGATTGCAGCCAGAATATCAGCAGGCTACTAGCTGTTGTTGTTGTTATTAATTTTTATCCCTTTTTAAGAAATACATATTTGGCCAACTCAAGGCAGTGAACATACTTGATAGTCCTGCCTCTTATTTTCCGACCACAACAATCCTGTAACGTATGTTGGGCTGAGAGAGAGTGACTGGTCCAAAGTTACCCAGCTGGCTTTCATGCCTAAGGGAGGCCTAGAACTCAGAGTTTCCTGGTATATTATTGGTATAATAACAGAAAGAAGCTGCAAAGAAAAATACCTGTACAAGAAGTATGATTTAAGTATGGAATTTTATAAACAGTTAAGTGTCCCGGGATTATAAACCAGCTCCTAGCCATAATCCTACTGAATATCACCATTAATCAATGTGACAGATTTGCCACATAACATTGAACTGCAATATTGAAATCAAAGCTTGGAGTGTGTACTGCTTACATTATAATCAAACCAAGCAGTTAAAATTACAAGTCACAAGAAATAAAAGGAACTATTGCTTGTGCTTACACTGTTTGTGACAGGATCCATTCAACTGAAAAACCCACCAAATGTCAATAGATGTATATAACATTCAGACTTCACTCCAACATACGGAGAATTGCACTTGTTTCTCTATCAAATATATTCTTACATATGTCCAATTGAAATATTACATTTATCCTTACATACCCACCAGTTGTCTTGAGAAATTGAATGTCACATCTTCACCTTCAAACCATTCAAAAACTACAGATTCATAAGATTACTTCTACAATGAGTACACTTATTACAACATCAATTCAAAGTTAGCAAGTCATTTCATACAAATCTTCTCCATAAAATATATATTTTTTTTTTTTTAAAAAGCACTTTACTTTAAAAAGTAAAACACCCTGATTAGGCACATCACTGTCAAATTAAAAACAAATGAGTAATATAAAACAAATGAAGATCAGAAAGTTGATTAAACATATTTCCACTCAAAACCTAAATATATTATCTGGGTACATGCACCAAATCAATCTGCTGAATAAGCCACAATAGCTGATTATACTTTTTGATAAGTGAAATCCAAAAATACATACATTATGATTATAAGTTGTGAACTAATCCTAAATCTTTGAGCATGAAACTGAGCAAACTCAGGGAGGCAGTGAAGGACAGGAAGGCCTGGCGCAATATGGTTCATGGGGTCACGAAGAGTCGGACACGACTTAACGACTAAACAACAACAACAAATCCTAAATCTTAACTCTTATTTTTATTTTGTTGATACCAAGATATAACAGATTTTGAATTGCTCCTCTCACTGTAACATTGATTTGAAAACGATGATACATGATTTGTAGGAAGTGGCATTTTGATCCCTTTTCTCATGCTAAACTGATACTACATAGAGTAATCCAGACCACAAAATGAATTAAAAAGCCTGTTATATGAAAAACTGGGTGGGAAATAGGAACTTATGTTTTGGCTCAATTAAAGGATGAAAATAATTATTTTTTAAAATAATGTTCTGCATTAAAAGAAAAATATTATCTGCCTAGTATGGCTCACTGGCATTATTTACAATTAAAACATCTACTGACATCCCATTTTATAGCATTTTCAGCCTCTGAAACATCTCATTTATGCCTTTTATTACACTAAAAAAGCCTAAAATTACTTTTTTGAAGTGTTAACATTAATATCAAAAACTTTAATAGATCTTATATTAGATTTTATTCAACAAAAAATATTTCAGACTTACTAGACTCCATTTATATAGTAAAAACTTGGAGATGCAATGAAATTAATGCTTCATTCAAACTTTTTTACATTGTTCTGTAACTGTTCCATTTAGGAAGAAAATTATTACACATATTAATTCCATTCTGAGACAAGATTTAATAATTTCAGATGTACCTATTCTATTGAATTATATTCCTATAGCATGGAAACTGACATCTAGACAAAGAAAATGGATTCTCCATGCTCTACTTATAACCAAAAGACTTCCAAAGATAAATCTTTAGAAAGATAAATATATGCCCCAACTACTCAACAGCTGCACTCTGCAGAGTTTGTTATTAACAATTCACCAACAAATTACTTATCAACATAGATTATTATAATGATATATGGCTACCATTCATTGTAACACTTATGTACAACTTTTATATTTATGCATATATTTATTAATATATGCCCTGTATGTAATTATTTTTTCTCTTTTTCATAATTTTGTTTCTTGTCCTGCATTCAATTAAGAAAGGAAAAATGTTTTTTTTTTTAAAGCCACGAATAGAGAACTGGAATGAAATCCTTATAGTGGTGGCATGAAAAGTCTAATGTTTGCAAATCTGTTTTTATGAAAGATTTTGTTCACTTGTGGATTTTATGTGTACCCTACTGTGTACAGAAAAGCATCCAGTGTATGGCCACAGAGGTAAGGTTTTATCAGATATATATCAACATTAATACTTCTCACAAGCTTACAGAATTTACTTTTATTGAAACAGGCATTTAATATATTACTTTTAAACGAAAAGTTAATGTGAAACCACACATCAAATTACATCATAAAATTTCCTTCATTTGTCTAGGTGTGTTACATTGCTTAGCATTATGTGAATCTAGAAAACTGTAGTTTAGTTAATAAACTATTGCTAAATGGTTAATTGCGTGTATGAACCAAGGCACAGCGTTAGTTCAATTTTATCTGAATAACAAACTAAACCAATATATTTACTAAAAATCAGCCAATTGTGTTTAATTGGACTTATTTCCAGGTAGGGACAAGATTCAACTTATCTTAAATTATTCTTAAATAATTTAAGAAATGCCCAAGGCTGGCAAAGCACAAAAGTAAAAATCGTATTTAGACAAATTCACTTACATTCTAAGACACTCAAATGTAAACAATTAAGCACCATTTAGAAATCATGAAGAAAGCAATGATTTCGTTAGAAGATTCTTCATGCATCACTGATGTCAAACACTTACGTACAGTTGAACTTTTTTCTGAATATGTAAGATCATGCACATTTACCTGAAATAGCTTTCCCTTGGGTCTTAATTCCAACCCTCCACAGAACTAGCTTTAAATTTCCCAAGCCAAATTGGGATTAAATAGAACAAACAGAATCCAGCTCAGGATTAAATAGAACAAAATACCACCAAAATAATAATATGGCATAGTTAGAATGAAGCGGTAAACTTAGTTAACACACTTGCAACAACCAATCAAGATCTTCCCTCCAGCTTTCATCACATCAGAAAAAGACATACCTGCATGACAAAATATCCTCCGCAGGTTCTTAACAGGAAACTTAACAACTAGTAGCAATAAGACAGCATCTGCGTAATGAATTCCAATTAAATACCGCGAGCTGTTTCTCTACAAACCTCTTTCACGCTCAGGCCAACCAAAGGCAAAGCTTTGAGGAGGAGGAGGTTTGGAAAGATCTGAGCCCCTCCCTAATCCCCTTACAGAACTAGCCTCCTCCTTTTCTTATTGCCTCAACATCCATAAAAAATTCCAGCTCCTAGACCGAGAGGAATACTAACTCCGGACCTTCTGCGCACGAGAACGGACCGCCACCCACACGCAGCTCGCCAAGGTAACAGCAAACCGAGCTTCAGGACTGAGTGGTCCATGGGGAGACAGGGAAAGCCTTTTTCTGCAACAGAGAAGGCAGCCCCCAACCCTGCTATCCCTTGAGAAAGCCTGCGAAAGGAAAGGGTCAGGGCCAGGGCCACTTTCCACATCCTTAAGCCACAGAAAGGTGGCAGTGACAAGGACAAAATCAGAGAGCGATTCCGAAGAGGAACACCAACGTCGCTAACATCAACTCCCCCTCATGAACAGCCTCCTGCCCGGCAACGGGCGAGCTTCCTGCTGCTCTTCCCAGAAGGGAGTGGAGAGAGAAGACAGAAATAAAGGGAAATCGGTTTTCTGCGTCGCCCATAGAAAGGGGGAAGCGCCTCCCCGTGGGCTCGCCCTCTCATTTTTCCCCTGCAGTCGCCGGCCCTTCAAAGGGCCATTACGGAGAGGGAGGGAAGCCTCCGACGTTTCACCGCAGGAGGATCTGCCCGCAAATTCCTTTGCCTCCATCGCTCGGCTGTCCTCGCCCCCGAGTCCCGGAGTGTCAGTCTACAGGGGGCGGGACTAGCCGCTCACCTGGCAGAAGCGGTAGCAGTAATACTGGCTGCTCAGGACAGGAGACAATCCGGCGGGAAGGCGCGGCTCATTAATGGCCTTCAGTTCCTCGCCGAGTCTCTCCGATTCCTGGTCGCTCTCGTCTTCCGCCATGCTGCTCTGGCCGCCCTGCGCGTACCGAGTCCCAGCTCCCTCCCCCGCCCCGATCTGCCGGATGACCCGCCCTTTCGGTCGCGTACTTCAATTCCGGCACCGCCCCCCGCGGTGCCTTGTTAGTGGTCCGCGCGCTTGTCACTCAAATGCCGATCCCTCATCCTCTGACCTACAGAACCTTCATTCTAGCGCAGCTCCGGTAATTAAGCTCCTGATTGGCCGATCTGTATTCCCTGTTCGAAGCTGAACTTTCGGCAGCACTTTTTGATTGGTGAAGAATCTTATCGATCAAAATGGCTAAGCCCCGCCTTTACCCTTGTCGATTGGGCCCACATTTCATCCTTCAAAGTAAACATCTCCACCTACCCCTTGCGAGTGGACCACAATAGCGGGACAACTTCCGTTCTTTCCTTTCCATGAGTGGTGGAAAGTTTTGTCACTCTCTTCTTCGCGAGCCACAGAGAACAGCGCTCACTTTTTCTCTTCTCGCACGAGCTGACTCGCTTTTAGCAACGCCTTCATTGGAGGAGGTGTTGCTAGGGGGCTACATCCCGCCTTCCTCGACGAGCCAAAGAGAGGAAACAACTCCATTCAGCCCCACCATCCGCCCCCCGCCTCTCCGTGTGCCTGTCTGTCTGGCAGGCGGCTCCGCCAAGTCTGATCCACGCCATCGCGGGGTTTTGGGGGCAAGCACGGGACAGATCAGAGGCTTCGACCCGGTCGATGTGGGAGCCGAACTCCGCGCTGTCAGGAGCTGTAAGGACGAGCCGAAGGGAGAGGTTTCATTGCAGCAAGTGCAGCACTGTTGCCCACCTTGTCTCCTTCCCTCCCCCCCGGGCGGGGGAGAAAAATTAACCTAGGTTGTGCGGAACGAGATTGACGGGAAGGAAGGAGACTCAGACGGGGTGGGAGAGAGGAGTTGAGTGGATGGCAGAGAGCGGGGCTCAGGAAATTCAGGTGATGGAGAAAAAGCCTCGGAGGGTCAAAGGAGAGGCTCTCCTTTGCAGGAGGGAGGGACGGAGGAGTGTCTGCTGGGGGCGCGGATTGAAATGTTGGACCTGATGAAGAACATTTGCTGTGGACGTTGTGGGGATTTCTGAGCCAATGAACTGTAGATCTGACCAGGGTTTACGGAGACATTGTCATTGGAATAGTAGAAGTTTGCCACCTTGAAAGTATTCACCTTGTTTTGAAACAGCCGTGTTTTAAAGTGTCTTAAAATATGTATGGAAAAATAATTAGAGATGCAGCTCTAATGATGTTCCCAGCAGAGACCGTCTACAGGACAGTCCTATGTATATTTTCTGGTAAGTAATCCCACTGTCTTTAGTTTTGCTTACGCCCAAGGGAATGTGCATAGGACTGCATCCCTGAACGGTCTTACTCGACAGGCATAAGATCCATTCAAGAGAGCCCGACTGGCTTCTGAGCAAATGTGCTTGAGCATGTACTCTGGTGCTGCAATACTGAATTTCAGATTATTAATAGTCTGATTATCCATATTAATGTTACATAGGCCAACGACTGGAAGGCTACCGATTCCAGATCAGCTTCTCGTCCCAAATTAGTTTTGGGAAATAATCCTTCTAGTTATTCATTGCAAAAACAAAAAATTTAGATATGGTATATGTGATTTGATATTATTCCCCACTATTTAAACAAGAAGCTGTAAACGCAAACAAATGGAAGAGAACAGTGCATGCTGATCCTACCTATGCTGTTTTGAGTATATCATGTTGAGCAATAAGGCTTACAGGTGGGCTTCCACTTGTGTTTGCTTGAACAGTAGTTTCACCTTCAGCTACAGTTCAGGTAATTTGCAGGTGGGGATCTTGATAAAGCATGGAACATAACTGTACAGAGAGCTCAATTGTAATTCAAAGGAAAGTGAATGAATCCTGTCTGAGGTGTGTCATTCATTTGGGCCAGGTTAAGTGTGGGACCCAGTAGGGCAGTCACACACTCTTTAAATTAGTTAAACTATCCTTTTTATGCTTAGTGGGTGAAATAATTGTGACATAACAATTATAGTTGGTCTTGTGCTCACTGCAGCATAAATATCAGATACCATTCTGTAATATAATTCTTGAAAATGTAGGTACAAAGCAGAGGTGTGTAACCTTTTGGGGAATCAGTTGGTGTTTGAGTGACCTGTCAAGATGTATACTGCAGAAAGTAGAAGAAGCAAGACAAAAATTAAGTTTGGCTTTTCATTTTAAAATTAAATTACATTGGTTTAAGTAATTGACATGATTAATATCCATGCATTTAATAAGCTTTCCTCTCTGTTACATTAAAAAATACAATTAGATAGCAATTTTGGAGAGGCTTTGGAGCTGCATCCAAGTCTTTTGGAGACCACTGGTTGTGTATTTCTGATCTTTTTGATTTTTAACTGATAGCAAAGGATAGCCTCTTGTTGAATGGCCATTAAAAAAAAGTCATAATGAATCATCAGAGAACCTTATATTTTCCACAGATAGATGCCATAGATCTGCTTCCCAGTCACTTCTTTACTGTGGATTTTTTTTTTTAATGGTCTGATTTTTGTGGTGTTGCTTTGCTACAAAAGCTTTATCAGGTCACAAAGTTTAAGTATAGATGAGCTTTAAAGCTGTAATAGATTGTTGGTGTTAGGTGAATATTCCCCAAATATCAAGTAATGAGGACATCAGAATTAGAAAATATGGTTTTTCAGGCATCTACAAAGAGATAACACACTAAAGTAGAGAAAGAAATAGGAATGATAAAAGCATTTGACCTCAGTTTTGATTCAGGGACAAGGATCAAGCTCTGAGCCTGCAGGAAGAATAAAAGATTAGACTAATCTCATATTTATAGTGATGATAATGTTGATGCTGCTACAGTGGTTGTATTCTAGAAAAAGGTTCTTCAGAATTTGAGGGAAGTGATGAGTTAGATACATAACCTTCAGGTAGTTTCCATTGTTACGATTTTATAATTCACAAATTTGACAAATAAATACCAGATATTCTGAACTTTCTTCAATCACTTCTTTTGTGTACTATTATATGATTTTTTAAATCTCAGCCTAAACTATCTGAGATATGAAGACTTTTCTTCCCTGATTCCTGCCTAACAATTAGCCATAGAAAGTTTTGACAAGTAAGTATTGCTACTGAGAAACCAGAAATCAGAACAGGTATTCCGTTTGGTCATGGCTTTCTTTTTCTTTTCAATATGATGATTATCAAAGCAACCATTCAAAATGACATTTGTTGGTCATGTATGTCATTTGGACATGCAGCTGCTAATGGATCTAGAATCAGTATAGGACATTAGAGATTTCCCTTACTATTAGAAAGGCACATTGTTTCAATCCTTCCTAATTCATCAGTTAACCTGGATTTTTTCTTTTCATCAAGGTTTTCAAAGATTAGAATTGTTTTATCACATTTCCCAATCTTCTTTCATTAATGCAATGATTTTTAAACTACTTTTTTCTGGATCATTTAAATAATTAAATTCAATATTTTAATAGGAATAAATCATTTAAAATAGTACAGATAGATTATGCAAGAAAATGTTGAGGTATCCCATCAATTTTATATGTGGCATAAACCTATTTTGTTTAAAAGCCACTCCTATTGTGTTCAGTGGTGGTTATTCTGCAGAAAACATGCTAGGATTGTAGCTGATAAATGTGCTAGGACTGTAGCTGATAAACATATTTAATTTTTTTAATAAATTGACAGTGATAACAATTAGGTAATAAACCAGAAGCTAATCTGAAATAATGTTTTAGCTGGAGAAGTATGTTTCTAGTACTAATTTTCCAAAGGAAAATAAAGGAAGTTAGGTTTGCAAAGCAGTCAAAAGTGTCTGCTTAATATTTTACTGTGAGGCTGAAATTTGATCTGACAGCTGACTGGACTTAAACTGATACTGTATGAAGAGCTCCTTCAACACTTTGTCATGCTTTCATGTTTGTCTCTGAGTAAGTGTGTAAGTGTGTTCTTCCAAAGTTTCTTCAGTGTGAGGCTTTTCTCTTTTGTTTTAATATGGGATTTTTAATGGGATTTTTAAAACCAACCTAGGCACAATTGCAAAAAAAGGCTTCTCAATCAATTCTGGAAAATGTAGGGGCAACACAATAAGGAAAAAAACCCTATTCATATCACTTTTCCTAGGCACGCCTTTGCTAGCTGTCAGTAAACAAACAATGCAATAATAACCTCTCTGTTAGGATTTCATTCTACTTTAGTTCTAAGCAGAAATGTGTTTTGAGAATAAAGAATTCTGATATTTAAGCCATTTATGCTTATGTGATCTTTGAAAAAAAAAACTCCCCCCCCTCCAAGAAATCCATGGGTAATAGACATGACAAGCTTTAAAGATATGTACTTTCTGACCAACTAGGGAAGATTCCAGTCAGGTAAAACTTTTGTTATTAAAATGGTAGCTCTAGAAACTGTTTTAAAAAACATAAACATTGGTTTTACTCAGCATTGTACAAAATATGTTTTGATCTGTGTCAGGCAAGAAATTCCCCATTTTAAGCGTGAAAGTATTTTGAGTGGGATTGCTTTGAGTATTTTGGAAGCATTTCAAGCTTGAAACAGAACTATTGCATAAAATATTCAAGCAAACCCATTGCATACTCAAGCTCTGTACTCTTGCACTTGAAATGAGGTTTTACAAAGTTTTGGGCTGGAAAGGTTCGAAATGAAATATTTTGCATGCCCCTGATTTCAGAAGAGCTAATAGAGACCTCATGATCTACATGTAGTTCCTACATCATACATACGTATATACATACATACATCTTCATATAGAGTAGAACTCACTGAACTTGTGAATTGGGGGAGAAGGCAACTTTCACCAATTTCCCTTCCTTCCTGCTATCTGTATGGTTGAAAATAATATGGAAAGTGGTCACTGCAGAGAGGAGGAGGAATTGTAAAATTCACTTCTCAGCAGGAAAGCTCCACTAGAAAATAGTTCCCTCCATCAATAGAAGGATTGGGTCTGTCTACACAGAGACAAATCAATCTTTCTGAAAATATCTTACTTTAACAACCTTGTTGTTTTGCCATGTAGTATTCATATTTTTTAATATTTTGTTTGTTTCATCATAGGAAATGGTGTCATATCTATTGTCTGAATACCAGTGTTCAGTTAAAGTATCAGTTAAAGCATAACTAAATTCCAGTGTACAAGCCTTGCATAAATAAAATCTTTCCTTCTCTCTCTCTCTCTCTCTCTCTCTCTCTCGCTCACTTTCCCTTTTCTCAGTTTACTAAAGACAGCAATGGAGCGATTTGATGTAAAGCCACCTCCTTCCCGGAGCCGTTCAAAGACTGCTTTATACGTGACCCCTCAGGATCGTGTAACTGAATTTGGCAGTGAACTGTATGAAGATGGGGGGAAACTGTATTGCAGTTTTTGCAATGTAGTCCTGAATCATGTTCGCAAATCTGCAATCAATGACCATCTCAAATCCAAAACACACACCAAACGTAAGGGAGAGTTTGAAGAGCAAAGTGTCAGGAAGAAACCACGAACTCTGACTGCCTCTCTGCAGTGTAACAGCGCAACCCAGACAGAGAAGCCCAGTGTAGTCCAGGACTTTGTAAAAATGTTTCTGGAAGCTAGCATTCCCCTTGAGAAGGCTGATCATCCAGCTGTGCGAGCATTTCTCTCTCGCCATGTGAAGAATGGGAACTCCATACCCAAGGCTGACCAGCTGAGGAAAATCTATTTGTCTGACGGGTTTACAAATCAGCTTATCAAATCTGAGGAACACTGAGAGGGAAGCCACTTGGTTCTAGGTGTCAAGTGTTACAATTGCATAGCAGTGATGTGGTTTATTTTTATATTCATGCACATGCAATGTTATATAATAGGTTTTGTATTGTAAAATGACAATCTGTCTCAGAATGTAATGGTGTACAACCAAGAGTTGATGGCTATAGAATAAGAGTGTAGCACTAGGTTGCTGAACTTTGGGGGGTGGGAAGGGCAGGAGGTGGCAGGTGGGTGCCATATTGCTTAGTTTGTAACCCCAGTTCTAAATAGCGTAGAAAACTTCCTCTGATTGTTTTTTTTTACAGTATCTGATATTTGTAAGTGAACAAATTAGGTATGGCTACACCCAAGTGTTTAATTTGAGGCTTTAGTACTAAAGGTGTATACATATGTATCTTATTTATTAGGCCCATATTCTCAATATAAATTTATCTTCCATTTAACTGTATTTAGAGTTTCTGCAGTATTCTTAAACTCTGATTTCCAATGCAGTTGCCACAGTTCTGCTGTGCAAACAGATATTCAAAACTTGCTTTTTGTTTAATTCTCTGTAATTACATACAGTGTGAAATAACTGACTCTTGCACAGCTCACATAAATGCCAATGCACTTTACACTGAAGGCAAAGCATAGCACCTGCATTTAGATTTTTATTTTTATGAGCATCCCATTTATATCCAGAGTTCCTGAAAGAAAAATATATGAGGCACTTGGCAGAAGTAAAAGGTTTTGCAAAATTTTAATTATACTACAATTAATCAGAGGAAGTTGTAAGACTCTGAGAATAAGCAGTTGCCTATCGATGGCAGGGGTGTGCAAACAATGCCTCTCTCAAGGGGGTTTTTCTGGCATGCTATTTCTATTTCTTACAGTCAGCCTTAAGAATTCTCTTGGATAACTTTTTTTTTAAAACAAAAATCTATTTGAATATCTGATATGTTTGAACATTGTTCAGTTTGAACCTGGGTAATACAATTTCCTAGTGTGAAACAGATTTACTGATATCTTTTCCTTCAATACATGTTCCCTTCTCTTGTCTGAAATTCTTTGCTGGAAGCATGTGATTATTGATAATTTAATTCTTGATTAAAATATTCTTCATGGGTTACTAGCAGCAATGTATAATTTTGTTCAAGTTAAGCACAATTGATTTAAATAGTGCTTTAAATCCTATTGATTTAAACAGTTGTTATATAACACCTGTTAAATTTTGTAAAAAAAAAAAAAGTTAATGTTCATTAGATCATGCCCCAGATATTTAACTTTTTTTTTAGTAAAATAGCAAAAACAGAGCAGTTTCTAATGAGTGGTATGTTTATTATTATTAAAATGAAAATGCACAGTCCATTCCAGTGGGGAAAAAATAATGGAACATTTCACTGTTGAAACCTATCTGAGTTAGATCATGCATTATTGTCTTAGCCATCCATATTTATCTTTCTTTGAACTAAAATTGAACAGACAGCAAGCTAGGCTGCTACTGTTGCACATTTGAAATGTCCATCAAGTTTATAACAAAGCTTAAAATTAATAAAGGTCTGAGCTCTTCTTGGCTTATTAAAGTCTGGTGCTTATACAAATTGTTCTCTGACTTCTTCCAAGGATCTGCTTAGCTTATTAAAAATTGTGACTTTCATCTTTAATTCTCAGATTTGTATAGAAACGTTAAGCAGTTTCTTTTTAAAAAATAGACCTCAGAAGGAGTCATCCTATGAGAAGACTCACTGATATCATAATTAAATTTTTATCCATTAATTTCAAGAGTTCTGTTTATAAGTATGATTAAGTCTGAATATGGCCTAACATTTCTTTTAATTTTGGAGGAGCTTAAGGCTTTCTTTGTTGACAAGGAAATCTTTTCCTTTTCTATGGTTTGTGCCTTTGTATTTCTTGTCAAGTTGCTCTGAATTTTGCAAAATGTAATATTGCTTATAATTGTTCATCAAAGCTTGGGAAAAAATGAGATTGTTTCTCCTTCCTTAGCTGACCATTAGTGACCCTTAATTTAATTACTTGTACCTGAAGAATAATTTCTAGCACACATCAGTCATATGGTAGTATAAACAAGACTTGTTAAATATTATTTTTTCAAATTCTAAAAACTACTAGTTGAGTTCAGTATTTTAAAACATGTCCATAACTATATTGGATTTGCAGGAGTGCTTTTCAGCTTTATAAACAAATGTGTCAGTGTAAAATTTAGGATTCTATGAGTGCCTCTTCCTATAAACTAAGCTCACCATAATAAATTAAAATTAGGAAAATGTCATAGTTTTTATCTAAAAAGAGTAATACCTAAACAATATGTGGAATTTTGTTTTTGTTTTGCTGACTTAACTATCTGATATTTAATTTTATAGAGATTTTTCTTTGATTAGTAAAACTTATGTATTAGTTTGAATAGGGGACTGTAAATGCATTGTCATCAATACATGTGTATTTCTTGTCTGCCTCATTCATAAATGTGTTCTGTATGAAGTCTAGTAACAGAGTAGAGGCCCTGTATGTAATGCAATGGGAAATGCATGTTTTATATTTCATAAGATTATATCATTATACTGCTTTGCTACTTCCATTTGCAATCTTGTACATTAACAAGGGCATACCAGCAGAAGGCATTTGTTTTTGTATGTTTTCTTTTCACTCTTCCAGCTAATGTGCAGAATGGTGGTCCATGTGTCTTCCCATGCTTCTTAAATGTGTACATTTTACCACAAAGTGATATGTAACTTATTCCATGGTACTTGCATAGAGAGCGTGAAAAGACTGCAGTCTAATAGGAAAAAAGAAAGTAAAATTGTGTTTTGATCTATATGGTTAGTAAAAATCATGACAAGAGGCATAACACTTAAACAAAAACCCACCATTTTAACTGTACAAAATAAATTTTTTGTTGACAGTGAGATTCAGACAAGCAAACAATGGAAAGTTTACTTGCACCTGCTTTATTATTTTAATGTAATTGTTCATATAAAGTTAACATTGAAATCAGTAAAGGCTATCCAGCCAAGGTAATATAATATTGTTAGACAGATTTACAGATCAGCTATATGGATATATAAGCATGATTTGGTTTTGAAAAGGCCAAGGCTGTAGTCTTCTGCTTGAGTACTTGAAAGTAAGTTATGTTGGATTTTCTGTGAAACTTGCTTCCAAGTAAATTACATAGGATCATGCTACACCAATGTAATTAATAAGCATAAGTCTGCATCTTGCAATTCATTATTATTTATTTATGGTTGTTCACTCTAGTGTGTGTTTAAGACAAGCTTGTATTCAAGCTTTCTTACAGCTGAAGTATGGTGTGCATGTGTGCACATCTGTGTGAGAAAGACAAATGTTAGGGATTCTGAGAATATATTGAATGCAGCAACATCATAATCATAATGTTGGATATTAGCATGGCATTCAAAACACCCTAAGTGGGTGAATAAGGATGCTAATAATACTGGGTTGGATGTAGACTAACTTAGTTATGCTTTACCCCCAGTAAAATCAGTGGGACTTGGTCATGGCTTGCTTTTCACATTTATTTCAATAGAATTTAAGTATAGCCCCAAAAAGTGCAAGTCTAATGAGAATTAAACTTCAATAACTTTAAATGGGCTTCCTTCCACATAAATGTGGAACTCTTCTGAATAGTCCTTCAAATATTTGATGCCCATCTGACTATCTTTTAAAAACTAGTCTCTCAACAAATATTCAAACCTAATTTCAAATGCCAACTTTCAACTTTCAATCCTAATAATGGATTGAAAAAAAGTTTGACCCAATCATTCTAGCTTATTATAGAAAGTAAAATTGGTTTTTTCTAGTTAGGAGTGTTCTTATAAAATTCAAAATTTTTAACATCTACGGATATTTTTGAGATTTAGTCAATTGCAACCATACAAAATTTAACTGCTAAATTCTTAAATTGATTTTGTCTCTCTCTAGTAACATTTTTTCCTTTGAACGAAATAAGGAACATAATTACAATGTTCTGATGATTACCATTTAATTTATAGGTGCACATTGTATGGATAATCTTGCTACCTTTTTTTTACTATTCCATCTTGAATTTGCTGCTAGGGTGATTTGTTTTGTTTTGTTTTGTTTGTTTTTGGGTTTGCTTATGCATGTTGAGTATTCATTGTTTTTATGTTTTTAAAGCTCTGTGTTAACTTTACAGAATAAAACATTTTAAAGTAAAGACTACTTGAAGTGAAATGTTATATTTAGAAGCATCAAAGGACTAATGATTTTTTTCTCTCTTCTATTGTACTTTGCAGATTTGGAGAGATGTTTTAGTGTAATTAATGATCATGCTTTGCTCCCTTATATGAGGAAAAAGTTGTTTCAATTGTTGAGTATAATGATCCTACTCTGAATTGCGTTTTACACTTGCTCTTCCTTCAAAAAGAGTTCAGGGCAATATATATGGATTTCCCCACCCTAGTGCCCTGCAAGTTTTATTCTTACATTAGACTGAGAATCAGTGATTGGTCTAAAGGCAGATTGAGAACCTCAAAAAGTAGGGATGAACCCAGATTTCCCAAGATATAGCCCAACATTGACTGTACCAAATGCCCAATGCTGCATCAGTGTGCAGAACTTGGGGATTAATAGGTTCTTCTATGAATTGTCTCTGCAGATGGTTAATTAGCAGGTACTTCAGACTAAAAGCAGCTCAGCTGCAGCTTGAAGCAAATCCAAAATTAAGGCTGCAACATTTTATTTTCTGCCAGCAATAAATTTTCCCCAGTAGAAGAACTCTCAAACCTGACGATTACCTCTGGATTTTTATCATAGCTTTGGTTCCTAAACGGTGACAAGTTTGATTGTCCCCAAGTTGTGCTTAGATAGACTACATGTTGTATCAGAAAGGCAAATACAGCTTTAACTCATCTTGAAACCAAATACAGAAACCAGATTCTGTACTTCAATTTAACCCGTGCTCTTAACCAAGAAGTTGCAAGATTGTCTTAATCTAAATTTACATAAAACCAAAATATTCCTGTAACAGAGCTTTCAGATACAATGTTACGAAATTAAATGGAAATAATATTATGCATGGCAAACAAGGGCCCTTCCTCATGAAAACACAGCACTGATCTGAGGTCAATATTGCCTTTTTATTTCAGATGATGCCATGGCGCTTCTGGTGGTCTGTATATGCTGAGCCAAAGAAAATAGTTGTTTCCTGCTGTTTCCTCTGAACTTCAAAGCAGAGGGTTCTCTCTGGCAGAAATTCTCACCCTGTCCTGCCTCATGGGATTTCTCTTCCCTCCTAAAGTTCAGGTGCAGGGGCATCTTGCTGCTATTCTCCCTCTTATTGCTTTCTGGTTGTTCTAAAGGGGCCCTTACACATTTGTATCTTTTTTCCTCATTATCATTGTCATTGCCATTTTAAATGTTTTTATTTTACTTGTATCTTTAAACATTCTAAAAATTGATGGAGGTCAGAGGAGAACTCATACTCTACAGCTCCATAGTGATTTGGTGAAATACATTTAATCTCTTTGCAAACATTCCCCATTAACGCATCAGAGGAGAGAGCATGTTATTTCCATTCTTTTTTACTTATTTTTTCAGAATTCACAAAGCAGTCTATTACGAATCGATTCATTATGTCCATTTTAAAAAAAATTCTCTTGCTATTGGTTTTATTAACTTTGTTATCAAACTTTATCTTCTCATTTCAGTCAGCACAAATTCTTAACACTTTAAAACATGTGTTTGTGACAAAAATGGTAGGAAACTTTCTTTGATACAAGGTAGAAACAAAGACAAATTTTGTACTGTTAGATTTCAAGCCGTGTGGGCAGTATTCACAAATTCTTGATAATGAAGCTCAAGCTCAGATACTTTGGTCACCTAATGCGAAGAGAGGACTCTTTGGAAAAGACACCGATGCTGGGAAAGATT